CTGTACTAAAGTTAATTTGAGTGAGAAAAAAATTACAGTGTTATTGCCTAATCCTTTCTGATCCACCAAAAAAGAAAAAATAGTAATTTTGTCCTAAGACTACATCTCACATGTACTTTGCCATTCCTGTACCAAAATGCAGGGGTAAATCCTCAGCCATTTTCAGTCATTGCACTCCACTTAAGACAATTAATGAAACTGATGTGGCAGGATTGTTGTATTGATGGTAAGAGCATTTAATCTGCCACAAAAAATAGGCATGTACCTTGCTAGTCATGTCCACTTTGGAGACCCTTGAAGTAATGCAGTCTGATGTCATCACTGTGCATCAGAAAGCTGTGGTGCTATGCTCTTTCTTCATTAGTGGAATTTCACCAGCTACATTAATGAACAGTAAATTCTTTCCTGTGGCCATTGCATCAAAGAGTTACAAGTATGCCAGTTTATTACTGTTACAGTGCCAAGAACATTCATTCAATACAAAAATATGCACAATATCATGATTATGCATTGTCTCTCTTGGCATATTTTTTAATATCTCATCCTGAACAATGTCCCAGTAATAACACACTTTTATCAGCTCTAACCAAATTAGCTTTTGCTGAGGAATAAAAGTACAAAATTGGTTATTCAAAGGAAATGGTTTTGTCTTATTATTCTAGGAGATAGGCAACTGCTAGGGATTTGGGATTTTGCTGATATCCTTGATATGATTTGAAGACTTCTACCTAGAGTATACTCTGACTTTGAAGACACTGTGAGGGTGCAAACATGGAATTCATTTCTGACTTAAAAGCAACTCTTTATTAGTGCGTAGTTTATACATTTCTGAAGAACACATTAATATCAGAGGCAACAAATATTGATAATATACCTGTGATATAATTTTTAGTTAGGTAACAACTTGATTTAGAGTCAAATCTATTTTTAAAAATGCTTTATAAGTTTTATCTAATCTCATTTTCCCACATTTAAAGTTATCTCTTGGCTAATACAGGAATCTCATTACTACAGAATATTTCATGTGAAAAAAAAAAATTGAAAATAAGAATTCTTTGGTATAATCGGTATTCTTGATGTTATTTTTTTTTTTAGGGACCAGTCAATCTGGGGAAATTTATTCTAGAAATTGTTCAGTTTCAAATATTTTTTGATCACATATTCACAATCATGTGTAATACCTTTGATTAAGTATAGGAATGGCTTTGCAGAAGTATTTGGTGTTGAGAGTGAAATAAAGCTCTACTCAGTCTTCCAAAATTAGAAATCTGTATTTCTACAGAGCAGTTTATTTTAGATATTTGAGGCATGTTTCCTATCATGTTTCCTAAAATGATATTGAGTGTTTCTATTAAAAAGAGATTAAATAGATTTATGTTCAGCAAGAGCACATTTTTGAATAAACCCCACAACTTGTCCTCCATATAGGTAAAGGCAAAACTAGCTGACTCTTATTCTGGAATTTGAAAGTCCTTTGCTAACATGTGAAAGATTTAAAAGCTATTGTAACATGGATTAATTGTTTTGGTAACAAAATTTAGGCCATCTCCAGTGTTAATTAGCAGTCCACCTTGAGTTCACCTACTTTGCTCAGGTGCTATAAAGGAAGCCCCTTGTCTGACTCACTGAATGCCTGAAGCTCACTGAGAGAGCTGCATTCCCTGCTCTGACATGAGCATGGCTGATATGCCTTATCTCTTGGACACTGGAACCATTAAGCTGCCAACTGCTGACAAATCACTCAGAACTCACCTGACAACAAAAGGGATACTGAGTTATCCATCATCTCTTAAAAAAAGCAATTACAACTGCTCTGTACTAATTATTCATTTCTGCCCAACTTCAAATATTTAATATTTTCATCCTCACATCACTCTCTCCTGGCAGATATTTCCTCAGCAGAAGGCACACATTACCTGTGTTGTGTGATGTTCTCATTGTTCAGTATGCATTGATTGCAGGCCATTATGTACCCAGTGTTATTTGTCACAGGGTGCCACAAAAGGCACAGATAGCTTATGAGACAATAAACCCAGATCTATTAGTGATCAATCTTGACAGAACATTAATATTTCAGCAAATAAGAATGCAAATACAGTTAAGAAATCAGCATTTAATATTTCAAGAGTGGTTTTGCTAATTGTGGGTTATACATGAATAAACTACAGCCTTGAACAGTTTCCTTCAGTAGAATTGTTCAAATTATATTTAGGGGAATATAAAACCCAAATTAAATATTGAAGGAAAAAAAAAGTAGTAATATTGAAAATCTTTTTCCCAACAAGAAAAGAAAAATAAACTTGCAAAATTCATGGGATTGATTGGACTGCAAGAGATCACAGAAAAAGCTGAACTAGTTGAAATTAGTAGTTTGGGTACTGCAGGCAGTATTTCTGTACAATAGTCAGCTGGGCCAAGAATAGGCAGCTGAGAGAGGAGTGGAGTGAATCAGGCAAAATAACCTACCCTGTGCTCCAGGATCCTCAAAGGCCTCTGGTGCCAGACAGAGCCAGCTCAGGGTGGCCAGCTCCAGACAAACTGCAGAGATGTGTTTCCTAGCTACCATTCACAGGTCTAGCTCAGTGTAATCACTAGCTCCCCCAGGCTCCAGGATGTGGAATGATAAACCAGGAATCATGGACAGACCGTTACAAAAAATTCCAATTTTATAATACTGCCCGGGCTCCCTTCTCCATCTATCTTGGCTTTGCAGTTTCTTTCTGTAACTACTGGCATTTACATAAAATTAAGAATAACAGAGAATGAGGACTGGAAAATATTTTTGCTGCATCTAATTATTTAGCATGTGTTGATTTGTCTCCCTGGTATCTGCGTGTACTAAAAATTAGAGATTATAAAGAGTTTGAGGAGAAAAGGTTAAGTGTAACTTAGTGTTGCTATGCAGTAACTGAACTATCCTTGTGATCTGCTATGAACATAATGCAACCACAGATTTAGTAATTCTGAACATAAGCAACTATTTAATTCTCTGTATGAATGAGTCACTCCTTCATGATCACATGCATCGGTGCAAATGAGGTGGCATTAACAAACACAATATTCATTAAAAGCCAGTAACTCAAATTCTAATTGTATTTATGAAAGACTTGTTGCATCAATTAGCAAGGTTATATTAAGCAAACTAAATGCTGTCTAAGAATTGTGGTGTATTGACCTTGGTTGGATGTCAGATGCTCACCATGCTACTCTATTCCTCCCCTCCTCAGCAGGATGGAGCAGGTAGAAAATACGTTTGAAGAAAATTCATGGGTGAAGATAAAATCAGCTCAATGAAACAGTAGAAAAAGCAAAAGTCACATGTAGAAGCAAAGAAAAGCAAAATAATTATTCTCTACTTCCCATAAGGAAGTGATGTCCAGGTACATTTTGGGAAGTAGAGTTTCAATGTGCCTCTGGAAGACAAACATAGTAATAATGCCCATCCCCCTTTCTCCTCCTCTTTGTTAGCTTTTATTGCTGATCAGATGCCATGTGGTGTGGAATAACTATTTGGTCTGTTCAGGTCATGTGTCCTGGCTATGTCCCCTTCCAAGAAGTTGCCCACCCCCTGCCTACTGGCAAGGAGGAACGTTAGAAAACCGACCCTGTGCTGTGTGAGCACTGCTCAGCAGTACCCGAAACACTGGTGTGTTATCAGCACCTTTCTAGCTACCAAAGCACTGCTGTGAGGAAAATTAGCTTCATCTCTGCCAGACTAAATTCACAACTTATTATTGAAAAATTATAATAGTACATTTCACTCTGCACATGGTAAAAAAAAACAAAAACCAAAAAAACACAACAAAACCTTTTTTATAATAGACCACAAGATATTTAGTTAAAGCAGAAATGCTTTCACTTCTCCCTGCTGCCCTCATTATCCATGAATATAGAAAAATAATAATCCATAGTCCCTCTTTAAAGTACTCTAAAAGTAAACACATCAATTTCTATTAATTTCACTTGGGGATAATATGAAAATCGAATGTTGATGCAGTGCAGATTTAGCTAGATGCTTGATTTTCAAGATAAGATAACTGGTGTTGAGTCTATACCCAGACATGTGAAATGAAAAAGGACTTCTTGAAAGATACAAATGATATCTCCTAGGCTGGTTAAAGTCAAGCAATCAAAAATAAGGTGAAAATACTTCACCTCATCCTTACCAGGTCTCAGTATGTCTGGTCATTGCATTTCTTATGGTGCCTGGGGAGACCCCCTGCTCTGAGAGCCCCTGTGGGATTCTGTAGCAGATTAAGACACACTGCTTTCAATTGAAATTATATTTAAATACTGTATTCCCTCATAAGTTTATATTTAAACTAGAAATTCAGGTTTACTTTTTTTTTAGATTAAAGTGGTATTCTCCACCCTGTGGGACCAGACAGGATGGATATCAAAATGCTAAGACACAACAGATGTCATTGTGACACTTCTTTATATCATACTTAAGACATTGTGGAGAGAAGGAGAGGTCCATAATAACAGAAAAAATGTCCTCAATGCCCTCATGAAACAGGAAAATAAAATATTATCATAGATATCAATGTCTCTCAACATTCTGTAAACATTTACTCTAAAAAGGAACAACAGCATGGATGGAACTATTCCCAAATAAATCCTGCAGCATCAGGATTACACTAAGTTTTATGCATCTGTCTAAAAGAGGCCAGGGGCAAAAACAAATTCAACTGGAATTATTTAGTTTAAAAATGTGAAGTATAAACTAAATTAAATTAAGTACGCTCAGAAAAATCTTGAAATCAAGATTTCTCAGGCTGACTTACTAACCTTCAATCTTAACAGTTAAAGTAGTACATTTAAAGTAGTAGTAGTAGTACTTATTAAAAACCTCTAAAGATCATGTTTCTATTTAAGCTCTTAAGGCTGAAGAAGTAGGAAGTAGTGTACTTTAATGTTTATTCAGTGCTAATTTCCTCCTCTATCTACCTCAGTAGAAGCAACATCAAAAAAATATGCAGGTGAATTTCTTAAGGGTTCTAATAATTCACACTTTATTTCATGCATTTAATCATTTGAAGCTATGGTTTGAAAAATTTCCCTATTTAAACATAATTCCATAATTTCTCTAGGTATTGCCATTTTGGTCTTCCAGCAAGTTATCTTCTCTTATGTCCTTTTCTTCACCACTTTTCAGTCTGAGTTTCCAGAAAGGTGTACGTCTCTTGTCTCTCTAGCTTTTAATGACCAAACCTAAAATGAAAAGCAGTTTTGACTTTTAAAGTGCAGCATTGGACTTTTTTCCCTCCCAACTAAAGTGCAAAAATTTATAAAAGCAAAAGCAATGAAAGTAAATGGTAATATTTTGACTATATACTCAACAACTGAAATGGAAATATTATTACACAGTGCATTTTTTAATTCATCTGTTACTGAAGTGAAGAACAAATATGAAAAATGCTCTCAGACCTGGTGCTATACTACTTAAAGGCCATATGTTCCATTTATTACTCACTGGCTTTACCTTGAGCAGCTTTCCCACACAAGGCAGTCTGAGCAGATATACTAGTGGGAATTGGTTCCACTGGGATGAGAGCAAAGCCCAAGTTAGCTTTTAAACAATAGAGGAAGCAGGAAAAAAAACCAGAAAGCTACTTCATGTAAACAAAGTAATAAAATTGAATTTCTTATTAATGTGATTGTGGAACCTGACAGAAGTCTGATACTAAACAAATACCTATCAGCATAATCAGCATGCTTATTATCAATGTCTAGCACTTTATATTGACTTATGACTGTTCATGAAGACATAAATTTAAGGTAAAAATAATTGCTAACAATAAATTAACAGATCACATTTAGCCTGCAAAATCTGTGTAAAATCAGTTTTTCTCCTATAAATTAGGAAACTTGTGAAGTTCTTCCTTAATAATGTGCTAGGTGTATATGGTGTGCAGTATGAAGTGCTTATTTGGGCTCTGATCAGGTTTTAAACAAATTGTAAAACAACCAAAGGGAACATATGTTTTGTATGGAGCTAAGAATTTATTGTTAACCAAAATAAAATCTTGATGTGATCAAAATCTAGCAAACATCTATTTTTAGTCCTGTTGTAATAATATACATAGTCCAAGTATAGCCCAATATATTTGGACTATGTATATCATGTATATGGTAACAATTTTCTTGCAAACTCTCACTCCTGAGAGCATTCCCTGAGCTGCCCTGTTACTCTGGTGCTGTTCTTGCACTCCAGTGTCCCTCTGCTCAACAGCACCAGACTTCTTCACCCAGAGAGACAATGAGATGTCAAAGAGAGTTAGCATCCCAACCTCTGTGCTGGGTGGGGAGTGGTGCTCAAGGAGGAATGGGGAAATTTCTTTCTTTCATGATCAGCTCTGTTTTTCCAATGTTCTCACACCTGATTGCCTCTGACTGGTCCCCAGCCCCATCTGGATGCTGCATCACAACCTCCCCCAGCCCTGGGAGACACCACAGACAACTGGCAATGAATGTCTGGTTTGACCAGCTTCATCCACCTCCCGCTGTCACAGACATCTGACTCAGGTCAAGCAATGCTCTTGTGGTCACCAGATCTTTGTTAGAGCAACCTGGCACCAGCTTGAGCTCAGGCAAGCCCTCCCAAGCACCAAGCACCGCCCAGCTAGGCACCTGTTGACATTCAATATAACGTGGCAGAAATCCTCTTGGCTGGGTTACATTTGACTCCAGTAAGTAAAATGAAATAGATTGCATTAGTAGAATCCATGTAGAGCATTAAAACTTATACTTTTCACAGTCCGTGCCTGGCAAATACCCCCCACAATAAGAATAAGAGTCCTACTGTTCAGTGGGATTTCTGGTTGTAGGAGGTTTGTACTAATGTCATCTATCCATATCATCTGCACAGTCAATATTCTCCTTCTTCAATTATTTTCAGTTGAGCAATAATGCAAGTCCCAAAACAGACAAGCAAAGAAGCATCACATGGCACAATTATCAGCTTAGCAGATGTAGCTGGAGCTCTCATTATCCAAGGGGGCTACACTTACTAATGAACATTGAGAATAGAAATTAAGATTTCTGACATTAAAAAAGTCATAATTTTTGAACCTTACATCCTTTCTTAAAGAAAAGTTAATCTATTATTTGTACATGATCATCAGTATTTTGAGTAAATTATATCATTTCTATGTTCTTGTCTTTTTCAAAAGTTAACACCTGCAAATTTTTTGTTTCTCTGTACTGTTGTGAGCTGGTCATATTTACAGAAAAAAATTCATTTAAAATTTCCTTCTTGTTTTTAAGACACAAAAATGACTTCTCTTCCATTTTTCTGTGTGATTTACCATTTTTATTGGTTGATTTTTTCTAAAGCATTAATAATTATAAAATGGTAACAACCACCAAAATAAGGGCTTTTACATCTTTCTAAGAAATAAAATCATTATAAAATTCTGTTGAAAATTTTGTTTGTGGATCCCAAAATCTAAGAATGAACAAAACATAAGTTTACTGTCCTTTATAAGTTAAATTTTAAGACATATATACTATAAATATTAGTAGAAATTAAAATTCAGCAAAGCATTAAGCAATATTATATGTTATTTATGCCAAGGCATTGTCTCTTTATTGTCTTCATCGCATTCACTTTAAAATGTATAAAACCCAAAACAAGAGAGGGAACAGAGAAATTTACACTTAATGTGGCTTTCCAAAAAAAAAAAAGAAGAAAAAGAAAAAGAAATTTGTATCAGTAAATTGTTTAACTGCTTTTACTGTATAAATCCCTGCAAATACTCACCTTCTATATGAAAGGAAAAAAGTCACATAATGCAATGATTTGCAGTGCTGCCTAGAGCTACACCAAAGCCAAGAGATTTTCAAAGGGGGAACAGAGAGGTTAGAATCACTCCCATGAGTAATGGACAGCTAAAGGGAAGAACTATAAACACTTTCTGTCTGCCACTGTGTTCAGATCTTGAAAGAAATAATCGAGCCTCAAACTATCTTTCAGATGTCTGCAAAGTCTGCCTCGCGGTCAATTCCATTTTTCCCAAGAGCAAAAATCTTTCTTTAGAAGTGGAATGTCTACACTGCCACAAGCAGTCTGAGCAAGCAGTAAATTATTTTAGAAGTGAAACTGAATAACATAGGCATTTATGTATTATGTCTGTTAAGAACCTTATCTCTCATCACAGGAGTGCTGCAGACCTATGTGGTGTTGCAGACCTGTTGTTTGACAGGCACAAAACATCAGACACAACTCCTTGGCACCTCATGGCCACAGCTGAACAAATGGTCTGTCTGACAGCATACACAGAGGTGATATTTATTGATAGCTTAATGCCTAATACATATTTGAAATGCTGGTGAAAGTAATCGCTAGAATAGCAAGGTTATATTAAGGGGCTGAAGGCGACATGAAGAATAATATTCATTGTAGCAGGTCAGTGTGATTCTTGTTTCCTGTTCCCCAGTTTCTGAAGACCATAGAATCAATCCACACAGAAATGTACTGGAGACATATAGTCCAAGTAAAATCTTCTGCAAACTCCTAGTGATTTTGGTGAACTCCAAATCACCATCATGGACTTTTTGTAGATGTATATGCTTTTCTTGCAATGTCTTTGTAAATTATTTAAAGACAAGTGTCAATGAGGGGGAAAAGATGCACATTTGCTTAGGATTGTGAGGACACTTTAGCCACAATCATTGAATTAAAAGAAATATATGGACATACTTTTGTAAAACGTTTTATGAGAAACCATGTTACTTCACGGGCTGGAAAAATGTTTAAGATATGATAATCATGCTCTCAAAGGCCAGTGATCAATTACAATTTAAGAATTACAATTTAAATCCACTGGTGTTTTAGGTCTTACATGATTAACAATATGTTTGCAAGAAAAATTTTTATGAAAGCTTACTGGGGAGAAATTATGGATAACTATACATATATATAGGTATTAAATGCTTCTTTTATATTTATACAATATTCATACCTGAGAAAAACAATTTTTAAATTTAGTACATAATAAAAATTCAGATTGAGGATTCTGTGGACTGAAGAGTTTGTATCTGAACCATTGAGAAAAAAATGAATGTTGTTCCATAAAATATTTTATTTTATTCTTTCTGTTTAGAGAAAAGATCTCCTCTGGTAGAGTAGATTAACTTTTTCCAATGACATGATTTGAAACTTTGCTAGCAGAAAAAAACATAAATTTATTGGATTATTTTAATTTTTTGAGAATATCACTTCCATCTTGGATTTCTTTTTGTTGAAAGAGGATGAATGTAAACTAGAATAATAGACCTTTAAAAAGCCTTTGTTTCCATTGGTAGAACTGTTGTTTACATGCTTATTCTCTTCGAGACTTTCTGGAACATACCTACTAAAATCAGCAACTTGATGTAAAGGGATCATTCTATCAGACTGAATTATTTAGTGACATGATAAGTTCTAGACATTTATATATATTGGTCCATGAGAAACTTCCTTCTATGATATACCTGATAGAAAACAAGACAAAAGATGCTGGGCAAATATATTTAGTGTATTTCATTTACAGCCTCATTTGCAAGGGTAAGAAAGGGTAAATTGTGGCATGACAAGTACACAAGGATCAGATGGGGAAAGAGCTCCAAGAGATCTAAATACACTTTTTATGTCTTACTTTCATAATCTAATATTATTCTAAATATTCCTAAAGGTGTTTGATTTATAATTTATCACAAGCTCTATAGAGACTCAAATAGGTCTCAAATTTCATTAGTGTATATTGTGCTGTTGTAATACCATATTAGAGATTAATTCCACACTTTCTAACCAAAGCTTGTTGCTTGTGTCATTCAACAAAAATGTGATTAAGTTTTTAGGAAGTAACATCAGGTAATATAAAATGTCCTGAATGACTGTGATACTTCTCTTAAAGTAATCTTTCCAGGTCCCTGTTTTTCCTGCTTTGTTCTTTCTCATGAAAATAAAAATATGTTTATGAAAAATAGTACTAGCTGCATGTTCAAGCTCTGTGCACAATTAGAATTTGTAGATTCTTCTATTTTCCTTTCTGTGTATGATAAACAAGTAGTTCTAACTCTGAGTATTCTGTGATTCTGTGAACCCAGCAGTCTCTAATGGCTACTGAATAGTTCTATCTAAATGCTACACATTATTTTCTCAGTGTCTATGAAGCCAAATCACTTTAGCCACAACAGTTTTTATATGGAGCTGATTGCTATGGCCAGTTTAACAAACCAATACTCTGCAGTGCTTCTTCTCTGCTAGTATAAAAAACACACTCCCTTTGACATTACTCCTAGTGATAAAAATGTTTGGAAAAAATGAAAGGCTTCATTTAGCCTGAAAAAATGCAGAAAATAATGCTTCATTTAAAAGGTTTGCAAATGTTCTTCTCCAAATCAAAGCTGTTGTGATTTTGAAAACATTTCTAATGAAATCTCACCCATCAAAATAGAGTAAACTTGAAAACTGATTTAAGTAAGCCAGGAAATTATTATGATGATCTAAATCTATAGTTACTTTACTTTTCAGTCTTTCAATAATATTTCTTTTTAATCTACCATATAAATACATAATGGAAAGACAAGTAAGGAAATCACACCTACAGTTCATGTGACCTGAAAGGCTCTAAAAATCAGCCATTTCAGTTGATAACTTAATGTTTTCTGGATTATTAGAAGCAGTCTATTTATTGTCAAATATATAATAATAATAATAATAATAATAATAATAATAATAATAATAATAATAATAATAATAATAATAATAATAATAATATCATTATTAATGTTTTAAGTAAGCAGAAAATATATTTTAATTATAACAAGTGAATCATACTGATGAATAAATTGATACTGCCAGGAAGTGATCACTTTTTATAGAGAAAAAGCAAAAATTATGAAAAAGCTCTGACCTACTAATGAAAGTCTTCAACCTCATAGTAAAATATAAACACCTGAGTATCTGTGTAAACACAGACTAAATGTTTACATCCTGCATTTTATAAAGGATATGTTGTATTTTAAATAGAACTGATGTCTGTAAGAAGAACTATATATTTTTAATATAAAATATTAAAATGTATAATATAAAACTTCAGGTAGTTCTGCAGACCAGAGAATATAAATTAAAAAAAACATTAAGCTTGGTGTTATTCTTACAACAAAGGGAAAAATGCTGGACTGAAATTTACAGTATATGTGTAAACACAAAAAGTGCCATAATTCTTCAAGAAAAGGCATGGGAAATCTGCCCTTTAACTCAACAAAAAATGTCATGATATTTGCAGGTTGGAGAAAATAACCCTTTGAAAATAGCCCTTTGAGAGAGCTATTTGACACATTGCTAAAACATATTATTTTAATGTTTTTTGCAGTGTCATTTCAATCTCAAGCCATTGTTCAACTAGGGACAATGCAAGCTAAAGCACTGACTTTCTGGGAACAAGGATTCCATGATGACAGTGATGGCACAAACAGCACAATCTCACTTACCTGCAGTCCAGCTATCCCTTTGAAGGATTTGTCCATCTTCCAAAATCTTCAGTGCGGATCTTTTATCCTTATGTGCTATAAAATAAATCCTTTGGCCTGAAATAAGAAACTTTCATGAAAAAACTGTCAATGTTTGGAGAAGATTATCATGATAAAAACAGATAGGCTGTAACTCCTCTGACAGTTAAAACCATTATGGTGTGATCTAACATATGATGGAATATACCTACCAAGAGCTCTTTTATACCTATGTCATTTTTATTTCCTCTCCTCTATTTCAATCCACAATTGTTTACATCCTAATAGATATAATTCTCTCACACACACACTGCTCTTATATGATACAAGGTTCACCAGATTCTTCTTGTCTAAAAAGGGTTTGTTTTCAAGGCTTGCAAAATACGTGGGCTATTCCAACAGAGAAATAAAGAAGTATTAGAATTTATGAAACAATAATAAGAAAAAAAAGTCTTCAACTCAGGACATATTTTCATTTGCACCACTCCTGAAAGATATTTAACCAATTTGTTTTCAAAGGATGCCCCATCTGGAGGCTCCACAACCTCTCTGCACTTTTTTACTCCCCTCACAGTCAAAAGTTCTCCTATCTCTACAATATTTTCCATTACATCCTATTGTGGTCACCAAGAATATGCCTAGTATTTCCTGTTGTAAGAAACTTTTTTGGACTTGAAGACCATATTATTTCCTTTTCTCTCTCTCATACACAAACGCACATACATATATACGTATATACATATATATATGTATGTACATACAATTCATTCTACCTTTCCTCATGAACCTCATTTTTGCTACCTTTAAGCATTCTTGTTAATGTCCATTAGGCTTGTCCTAACTTGTTTACATAATTCTTTAACTGCAATGTCCAGAATTACACAGATTGCTCTTACTGGAATCTTACAGCTCCCAAGCATCATTGAAGCATTATTCACTTATTTTTTGGTATTTACTGCTCCTAACACAATGTGTTGGACAAAACATTGATTCTTGCTTCATTTCATGATCAATTTCAACACTTCTTCAGCCTTACCTATATGGCAAATTTCTATGCATTGATGTAACTAAATATTCTAAATATGCTACATGTGCAGATATGGTTATTGACTATTTAATCTTTGGGACATTTATTCAGGACATTTATTCATAATTGTTTAAAATCTTGGGCTTTTTTTTTTGTTTCCTTCCTTTAACTGTAGACCTTTCCAGTTTTTTCTTTTAAACAAATTTTAATTAGCATGTTTATGAGGTGTCCTTTTTTGTAAGTGAATACAGAACAGACCCAAGACAGTCACTTACAGAACTCTGTTTCGCATATCCTTCTCTTCTGAGGCTTTGAAGATATAACTCTTCAGTCCCATGGATGTAAACAGGAACAGAGAGATTTTAAATAGAGGTTATATACTTATCATCTGAGTAATCTGCCTCACAGCATCTAGAATCTGACATATTGAAAGAGTGAGGGTAATTTGAATTAGGACACGCTTTGTTCCCAATGAGACACGGCAAATTGCAAGATTTAGCAAGGCTACATCATATCAGGCTTCACTGAAATGCCAGATATGGTTAAGACAGTGTGTCATAAACATAGTAAATTCTATTCTCCTTCAAACAAATAAATCATAAGTCAGTCCTCTGTCACTCCACATTCTTACTGCCTATAAGCTGCAAAAGAAAAACTCTGTACATGTCAAATCTGCTTTTTGGTTGGCAGTCAGGGGACAAGAGCTGCAGTGCATGAGTCTGGCTGAAGTCACATTAGATCATGGTGTCGTACCCACAGGAGTAGCAGAGACATGGTCTGACCACTCGAAAAGGAAAGAGTGTAACTCAGATTTAGTGGCCTGGAATAAGGTGTCAGAGAAACATCCAGTCCAGACAAAGTACTGCTTGAGTGTGCAGCAGGTGTAAAATGATTTTGAATGGAAATGACAGTATTCTGCTTTTACGGATTCCCATGTATGGCAGTTCTGCTCTGGCAATATGCTAAGAATAATATAATAATATAAAGACAAGTAGGAACTACTGTGGAGTAGAAAAGAAGAAAACACATTCCTTTAGCAGTCAACAATGGAAAAGACAGGGATAAAAGAAGAGTTTTGTGGCTCTAAACAGAAGCATGTCAGATGCAAGTGCAGCCGAGGGTCAAATATTTCTGTGCAGGATAACAAAGTGAAAGCAACAAGGGTAAGTGTTGTAAATACCTTAGTTTTATCACAGTATTCATGCTGACTGTTGCAGAGAATCAGTCCTATTATTGCAACTTTTCTGTCATAACCAACACTATACTGACATTAGTAAAAGGAAAACATTTTATTTTTGAGATTAGATATAATCTTCACTGCAGCTATTTTCATAAATAAGAAACTGAAATTCAGGAGCACCTTGAGAGTTCCAGGTACCCAGCAAGACAATGACATAGTAGCAGCTCCTGCATATAACAGAAGGAATCACATGGTGTTTTGCTATCTGAATATTACTTCTTATTAACACATATTGACTGATCAAAGCAATTTATGCAGCAATTTTCATAGGAGTGGAGAAGCAATTGCAAACCATCAGTTTCATCATCTAGAGTTTGTCAGTAGATGAAAGGGTCTACATATATTGCAACTGCCTAGAAATTCTAGGATTCAGTTTAAAAACAGCTCCTAACTGAGAATTTAGCAGTAACTTATATTATGATAATGAAAAAACAGCATGCTACCTTTGATGGTCACAGGGGTTCAATAACTCAGACCTTATTTGAAGCCCCAGCATGAGCCTGAGACAGGTCTGAAACAGCCTCACAGAAAACAGTGTTAAAGTAATAGCAACATTTTATGAACCCTGTTTTGCTCCCCTGGAGGTGATACTGTACCTTCATATATTCTGTTAAGAATATTCAAACTTATTATCTTAGTGGATTTAATATCTAACATACTGATTTAAAAATTACGAGGTTGAGAGAAACTTGATGTCTTCAGCTGTTCCCTCCACCAACTGTTTAATAAGCATGTCATGGTTTAGGAACGGCACTCCCCAGTTTAGTGCTCCTACTGAGACCCTTCAAGCCATGTTGTCACTCACTTTCTCCCTCTCTCCCTTCCCCTGTGGCAGGCTGCATAGGAGAGCTGGAGACACAAGGGTGAAGATCAGGGCTGAGAAAATAATTTACTGGAAGCTGCAATTAAAAGCTATCACTAACAGCAAAATATTAATAACAAAAGTATACAAGAGAGAGGCGAGTGGTTCACATGCAAAATGCTCAGCACTGGTGTTGCCCTACACTCCCTCTGTCGCACTCACTCATATGGAAGGGACCCCCTTTGCCCAGAAGTGACTCCCTTCCCTCTGCTTCCAGCAATGACACCAGGTGGTACAGAATAACCTTGAGAGCTTGGCAAAGCCCCCTTCTGGCTGGAACCAGGACAAGCAAACTCAAAATTGACATAGATCATGACATAAAACTGCCTGCCTGCTATACCAACTTGATTCAAAATGAATAGTAGTCTATAGTCCCTGAAAAACTCTAGTGTTTCTAAGTTCTATACTAGAACAATTTTATTATCAATTTTTCCCACCTGAGATGCAGATTGATTTTAACTACATTTCCCTAGCTTCTCAAAGATTTGGTGTTTGTTTTTATAGGGATTTTGTTGATTAATGTAAGAGGAGTTCTGAGAAAACCATGTAAGGGTTACTACATTGAAACAGGAAACAGATGGCACCTAACAGGGCATGAAGTGAGGAAACTTGTGTCATTCCTTCTCTCAAGGCTAATATTTGGTATGCAATAGTTCTTTTTAGGAAGGAAGTGG